CTCTGATTTTCATCCGACCTCAGTTCTTCAGCTACCTAAAGACGTTAGGAAAGAAAAGAGGAAAAGATTTGTTAAGATCAAACAGTAATACGATATTCACAGAACTAAAAATGACATTGAAACATCACTCCTTTTCTGTCAAGTTTGCGTGCGTGTACATGACGTTAGATATCACACGGAAGATGCAGTGCCATTGGAATTCCCTTCGGGCCAAGCAAGGTAAATCCCTCTCCCAGTTTGCATTTGCTTTACGTTCTTAAATAAATCAGAGGGGAAAACTCTCGCTAACATAAATTTTCAAAATCTATTCTGATTTTAGGGTTCCAATCCTCCCCAAACTATTTAATTGATTTAATTTATCAGTGCAATACCACGTAGACGAAATCAAGATCTTGTCTGCCCGATTTTCAAAAAAGAGTCTTCTCTACTCCTTCAAAACTACAGAATTATTCCTTTCCTGGGCACAGCATGAAAACTTTACGCCGAAAAATGCAGTGTCTAGTGCTGAAGAGATTTCAGGAAAGTAGGGACTGTAAATTATTTCACTATTTCTAGAGGGCAATTCGGCAGTAAGCATTAAAAACGGTCTTTTAGAATTGCGCAGTTCTTTTGACTGGGCCATTCTGCTTCTAGCAATTTAACTTAAAGAAATAATCTCCCTGTGTATATAAATTTCTCTATAAATAGGGTCATCGTAGTATGTTTTTTTCACATCATCAAATTAACTATCACCAAAAATCACCTAAATATTAAAGAATGCAAAATTTGTTAAGTTAACTGTGTTATTTCCATAGATGAGCCAGTTGTCCATAGTGACAAAATTCTTAGTATGTGGAGTGATACAAAGCTGGTTCATGTCGCATACTGCCCGCGTGACAATGACAAAGTTATTTAAGTTCTCTAAGCCTCAGCTTCCTCGTGTTAAAATAGCTTTGGTAAGTTGTTGTGAGGATTAAATGAACATTTAAAGTATATCCAGCTTTCGTACACAGCAATGCTTAGTAGATTTTTAGCAACTAATATTGCTGATTTAATCAACTTTGGAGCCATTAAACATCTTCTGATAAAAGAATCTCTGACCTTACTGAGATTAAGAGTTACACAAGAGTATGCATGATGCTGCCGGACTTGCGCACGCATTCGTTTTTACATTGAAAAAGAGAACACCGGAAGCTGTTTTCACACTGGAAGATTTTTAACATCAAAATGTTTAGAATTTCTACCTCTAAAAGTTCAAATTCTGGGTGATTTTAATTTTTTCTTACTTTAGATATAGTCCACATTTTTCTACATAAACCGTTTTACTTCATATGCAAAAAAACAATGTGAAAAAGGGAAGCAAACCTTTACACCAGCTTGCTTCTTAAAGTGCGCACTGGGTTTCTCCGCTCCGCTTCTACACATGGAGGAGGCAGGCTGAGGGAGGCCATTGTTGAATGCAACTGCTCCATACCATCCCCGGGGGGATATGCCAACCTCACCGTAAAACAAACTGCAAGTTCTTTTTTATGTTATATTATATTACCCTTTGGTTCTGTAGACAGAGTAGTTTTCACACTCAGACACCTGACATTTTAATAATTTTGTGTAAGTGTGTACAGCCCAATAATCTCCAAGGGCATAAAATAGGGTTTGTTCTGCCCTCCCCCATTCCTTTTCTACTTCATTAATCACCATGTGATGCTTGCCTACCACTACAGTGAGGAGATGGGAAGTTAGAGCTCAGAGGTCTGTCCAGAAGGTATCCAGCCATGCACTATGAAAGAGAGAGACATTCATGGAGGAAGATAAAAGATACAAGAAACACTGCCCCTAGGACAACGATGCCTCCGTCCCCTTCAAGCCAGGCACTTGGGGACCTGTCACAGTTCTCCCACTCACCATCAGCTGCCCCGTCTTATTCTCCTGAATCTCATCAACAGTGTGAAATCTCTTCCCTTTCAATGGTGATTTTAGTGTTAGCAAAAGCCAGAAGTCACAAGACACTAAATCTGGGGTATAGGGGTCTGAGTCACCTGAGCGGTTTGATGTTTTGCCAAACACCTCTGCACGAGACATGTTATATTAGCGGCGTGTTGTCATGATGAAGCTGCCAATTGCCAGTTACCCAGAGCTGTGGCCTTCTGAATCATCTGAATAACTTCTGCATAAGAACGTTCGAGCTGAACGCAACATTTGATGCAGACTTGTTGCTCCAATTGCTCAGTCATTTTGAATGTGACAGCCACACGGTACACATGCTCACTCAATGGTGTCTACTGCCTCTACCAGCTAGTACAGTGAAGCCTTCCTTGTTTACACATTAGAATTCCACTCCATTCTCCTTGGCTGCCAGGTTACATAGATCTCACACATACCGTACTCACCATATTAAAAATGGTTGGACTTTGTCCAGACAGACTATGTGCACATGCATATGTATATATGTCAAGTACTCCTACCAATACAAATATAAATTTTGTGCATATTTTTTATAAACTCCTGATTTACAGCCATTCCTTCCTTTCAGTTTCTATCTTGTATATTTAATTGCTTATTAAACTTTTTAACTTGATCGGCCTGACCACGTTAGTGTCTTAGACGCAATGGCAAAGTTGAAATAAACATCCATCTTTCTTTATTTTTCAGATAGTCTGCTCTTAGTGTACAGGAACATGCCTGATTTCTGCATGTTGATTTTGTAGCTTGCAACCTTACCAAGTTGTTTTAGGTCTAACAGTTCTTTGATACAGTCTTTAAGATTTACTATATATAGGACCACTTCATCTGCAAACAGAAACAATTTTACTTCTCCCTTTCTGAGTTGGATGCCTTTTACTTCTTTTCACGGCCTAATTGTTCCAGCTGGGACTTCCAGTGCTACCCTGAAGAGAAGTGGTGGGAGTGGGCACCCTTTTTTTGTCCCTGATATTAGGGGAAAAGCTTTTAGCCTTTCCTGTTGAGTATGTTGTTAGCTGTGAGCTTGTCATATCTGGTCGTTGTTATGTTGAGGTACATTCCTTCTACATGCATTTTGTTGAGAGTCTTATGAAAGGATATTGAATTTTGTCAAGCACTTTTCTGCATCTGTGGGGACGAGCATGTGATTTTCATCTTTCATTCAATAATGTGGTGTACCACAGTCATTGGTTTGTGCATGCTGAAATACCCTTGCATCCCGGACATAGATCCTTCTTCATCATGGCGTATGATCATTTTAATGTCTTGCTGAATTTGGTTGCTATATTTTGTAGAGAATTTTTGGCTGTAAACTCATCAGGCATTTTGGCTGGTAGTTTGTTTTTCTAGTAGTGTCCTCCTTACCTGGCTTTGGTATCAAGGTAATGCTGGCCTCACAAAATAAGCTTGGGAGTGCTCGTGCCTCAATTTTTTGGAAGAGTTTGAGAAGGACTGGTATAAACCTTCTTCAAATGTGTGATAGAACTCACCAGTGAATCTACCTGGTGCTGGGCTTTTCTTTGGTGGGAGGCTTTGCCTACTCATTCTACTTCCTCACTTGTTCTTGGTCTGTTCAGATTTACAGTTCCTTTATGATCTGGCCTTGGTAGGTTGTGTGGTTGTAGAAATTTATATATACCTTCTAGGCTGTACAAATTGTTGGTGTGTAATTGTTTATACCAGTATTGTATACTTACTTGTATTTGTGCGGTATCAGTGCTCATGTGTTCTACTTCATTTCTGATTTTATACATTTGAGTCTGTCTCATTCCTTAGTCTAGCTAAGAGCTTGTCAATTTTGATTATCTTTTACAAAGCCAGCTCTAAATTTCACCAGTCTTTGCTATGGTTCCTCTCTTCTCTATTTCATCTATTTTTGCTCTGCTCTTTATCCTTCTGCTATGCTAACTTTAGGTTACTTATTCTGTTCTAGTTTCTGAAAGTGTGGTTTAAAAAAGCCAATCAAATTTACAATAGCTATAAAATCAATAAAATGTTTGGGAAGATGTTGACCCAAGGAGGTGAAAAGTCTGCACGATGAAAGTGATAACATTCAATGAAAATATTGAAGATAAAACAAAGACATGGAAAGATATTGAATATCCATGAATTAATATGTAAACTAAGAAAGGGACACCTTTCATTTAAAGACACCTTTAGAATCAACTATATGTTCACACACGGTTTTAATTGTGTGCCTAAAGTTAATAGCAATATTTCACAAAGTGTTTTCTAAGAAAGAGAGGAAAATAAAAACATCTCATCAAAAACTTGAAGATGTAATTATACCTCCAGATAGTGTTAACATTTGTATTATCTCACTGATTTCCTTGCCTGGAGTTATAGCAACATCGCCAAGCGCCAGCCCTGAGACGATACTGCCCAGAGGGACTCCGAGGATTCCCACGGTAACAGGTCTCACATTAAAGTCTTTCATGCATTTTGAATTTAGTCTCCTATGTACCCGTAAGGACCTGGACTTCAGTATATTTCTGACCATATCGGTACACCAACCTACGTTATTGATTGAATTATCATGAGCCCTATGCATGTACTCGGTTCCTCCTCTAAACAAGGACTGAGCAAAAGTCCGGACATCCCTCTGGGCACGCAAGCTGTTCCATGGACAAGTCCACAGCCACGCTGAGTGCGGTCACCCAAACTCAGAGCCGCGGAGGCCACTCAGGCGTCCGTCAGCCCAAACCAATCTCTGCCGGACACTCATGTTGGGCCCTGAACGCTGGGCGCCTCCCTCCTGTGGCCTGGCCTCGGCTGCAGCGGCGTCGGGCAGAGCCACGGCACCGGGAGGCCTACGGATGGGGAGGGCGCACCACTGCCAAGGAGCTGCCCAAGGTGCAGCCGCTCCCTGTGCTGTGGTGTACCCCAGTGGCAGGGTGAGCGGTGCATCGCCGGCGGAAAAACCCTCCGGGGAGACCTGGGACCACGGGGCCACCTTCGCATCAGGGCTTTCCACTGGAGAGACCGCTGAGGTGGAGCCGCCTTCAGGTGGGCCTGGCGCTAAAGTGCAGAGAGGAGATCTCACTCTGAGGCTGACAGAAGCCATGGCCCGACCAACGAACGGCTCAGGTGGAGAATCCCAGGCACTGGCCCTGCGGTCGGCCCCGGGAGGCCCTCCGCGCAGCGGTCCTCACGCGCTTCCAAGTTGCAGGCCTGTCCCGGCCCCTGCCCGCCTGCTCCGCCCTCGCTGATCTTGACACCCCTACGAACGAACGGCCGGTGTGGCCACCGAGGCCCCGTCCACCCCAACCACCTCCTGCCGCGGGCACTCACGTTCCGGCCCCGAGGCCTCGGCGCCTCCCTCTGGCGGCCAGGCCTCGGCCGAGGCGTCGTCTGGCGGCGCGAGGGTCGCAGGAGGCCTGCGGGTTCGGCGAGGGCGCCGCCGCCGCCGAGCTGGCCCAGGCGCAGCCGCTCCCTGGGCGGTGGTGTGTCCCGGTGGCCAGGGCAGAGGCGCATCGCCGGCGGACAGGCCGTCCGGGGAGCCCTGGGTCCCCGGGGCCGCCTTCCCGTCAGGGCCTTCGGCGAGAGTCGCCGCTGAGGTGGGGCCGGCATCAGGCGGGCCTGGTGCTGCAGTGCAGAGAAGAGGAGGTCTCACCCGCGGGCCGACCTTGGCCGTGGCCCCGTCAACGCACGGCTCAGGCGGAGCCTCCCAGGCACTGGCCCTGCCGTCGGCCCCCCGGCGGCCCTCCCCGCAGCGGGCCCGACGGACTTCCACGTTGCAGGCCTGTCCCGGCCCCTGCCCGCCTGCTCCGCCCTCGCTGAGACGTCATGCCTGCTTCACGGCCGGCGTGGCCACCCAGGCCCCGTCCACCCCAACCACCTCCTGCCGCGGGCACTCACGTTCCGGCCCCGAGGCCTCGGCGCCTCCCTCTGGCGGCCAGGCCTCGGCCGAGGCGTCGTCTGGCGGCGCGAGGGTCGCAGGAGGCCTGCGGGTTCGGCGAGGGCGCCGCCGCCGCCGAGCTGGCCCAGGCGCAGCCGCTCCCTGGGCGGTGGTGTGTCCCGGTGGCCAGGGCAGAGGCGCATCGCCGGCGGACAGGCCGTCCGGGGAGCCCTGGGTCCCCGGGGCCGCCTTCCCGTCAGGGCCTTCGGCGAGAGTCGCCGCTGAGGTGGGGCCGGCATCAGGCGGGCCTGGTGCTGCAGTGCAGAGAAGAGGAGGTCTCACCCGCGGGCCGACCTTGGCCGTGGCCCCGTCAACGCACGGCTCAGGCGGAGCCTCCCAGGCACTGGCCCTGCCGTCGGCCCCCCGGCGGCCCTCCCCGCAGCGGGCCCGACGGACTTCCACGTTGCAGGCCTGTCCCGGCCCCTGCCCGCCTGCTCCGCCCTCGCTGAGACGTCATGCCTGCTTCACGGCCGGCGTGGCCACCCAGGCCCCGTCCACCCCAACCACCTCCTGCCGCGGGCACTCACGTTCCGGCCCCGAGGCCTCGGCGCCTCCCTCTGGCGGCCAGGCCTCGGCCGAGGCGTCGTCTGGCGGCGCGAGGGTCGCAGGAGGCCTGCGGGTTCGGCGAGGGCGCCGCCGCCGCCGAGCTGGCCCAGGCGCAGCCGCTCCCTGGGCGGTGGTGTGTCCCGGTGGCCAGGGCAGAGGCGCATCGCCGGCGGACAGGCCGTCCGGGGAGCCCTGGGTCCCCGGGGCCGCCTTCCCGTCAGGGCCTTCGGCGAGAGTCGCCGCTGAGGTGGGGCCGGCATCAGGCGGGCCTGGTGCTGCAGTGCAGAGAAGAGGAGGTCTCACCCGCGGGCCGACCTTGGCCGTGGCCCCGTCGACGCACGGCTCAGGCGGAGCCTCCCAGGCACTGGCCCTGCCGTCGGCCCCCCGGCGGCCCTCCCCGCAGCGGGCCCGACGGACTTCCACGTTGCAGGCCTGTCCCGGCCCCTGCCCGCCTGCTCCGCCCTCGCTGAGACGTCAAGCCTGCTTCACGGCCGGCGTGGCCACCCAGGCCCCGTCCACCCCAACCACCTCCTGCCGCGGGCACTCACGTTCCGGCCCCGAGGCCTCGGCGCCTCCCTCTGGCGGCCAGGCCTCGGCCGAGGCGTCGTCTGGCGGCGCGAGGGTCGCAGGAGGCCTGCGGGTTCGGCGAGGGCGCCGCCGCCGCCGAGCTGGCCCAGGCGCAGCCGCTCCCTGGGCGGTGGTGTGTCCCGGTGGCCAGGCCAGAGGCGCATCGCCGGCGGACAGGCCGTCCGGGGAGCCCTGGGTCCCCGGGGCCGCCTTCCCGTCAGGGCCTTCGGCGAGAGTCGCCGCTGAGGTGGGGCCGGCATCAGGCGGGCCTGGTGCTGCAGTGCAGAGAAGAGGAGGTCTCACCCGCGGGCCGACCTTGGCCGTGGCCCCGTCAACGCACGGCTCAGGCGGAGCCTCCCAGGCACTGGCCCTGCCGTCGGCCCCCCGGCGGCCCTCCCCGCAGCGGGCCCGACGGACTTCCACGTTGCAGGCCTGTCCCGGCCCCTGCCCGCCTGCTCCGCCCTCGCTGAGACGTCATGCCTGCTTCACGGCCGGCGTGGCCACCCAGGCCCCGTCCACCCCAACCACCTCCTGCCGCGGGCACTCACGTTCCGGCCCCGAGGCCTCGGCGCCTCCCTCTGGCGGCCAGGCCTCGGCCGAGGCGTCGTCTGGCGGCGCGAGGGTCGCAGGAGGCCTGCGGGTTCGGCGAGGGCGCCGCCGCCGCCGAGCTGGCCCAGGCGCAGCCGCTCCCTGGGCGGTGGTGTGTCCCGGTGGCCAGGCCAGAGGCGCATCGCCGGCGGACAGGCCGTCCGGGGAGCCCTGGGTCCCCGGGGCCGCCTTCCCGTCAGGGCCTTCGGCGAGAGTCGCCGCTGAGGTGGGGCCGGCATCAGGCGGGCCTGGTGCTGCAGTGCAGAGAAGAGGAGGTCTCACCCGCGGGCCGACCTTGGCCGTGGCCCCGTCAACGCACGGCTCAGGCGGAGCCTCCCAGGCACTGGCCCTGCCGTCGGCCCCCCGGCGGCCCTCCCCGCAGCGGGCCCGACGGACTTCCACGTTGCAGGCCTGTCCCGGCCCCTGCCCGCCTGCTCCGCCCTCGCTGAGACGTCATGCCTGCTTCACGGCCGGCGTGGCCACCCAGGCCCCGTCCACCCCAACCACCTCCTGCCGCGGGCACTCACGTTCCGGCCCCGAGGCCTCGGCGCCTCCCTCTGGCGGCCAGGCCTCGGCCGAGGCGTCGTCTGGCGGCGCGAGGGTCGCAGGAGGCCTGCGGGTTCGGCGAGGGCGCCGCCGCCGCCGAGCTGGCCCAGGCGCAGCCGCTCCCTGGGCGGTGGTGTGTCCCGGTGGCCAGGGCAGAGGCGCATCGCCGGCGGACAGGCCGTCCGGGGAGCCCTGGGTCCCCGGGGCCGCCTTCCCGTCAGGGCCTTCGGCGAGAGTCGCCGCTGAGGTGGGGCCGGCATCAGGCGGGCCTGGTGCTGCAGTGCAGAGAAGAGGAGGTCTCACCCGCGGGCCGACCTTGGCCGTGGCCCCGTCGACGCACGGCTCAGGCGGAGCCTCCCAGGCACTGGCCCTGCCGTCGGCCCCCGGCGGCCCTCCCCGCAGCGGGCCCGACGGACTTCCACGTTGCAGGCCTGTCCCGGCCCCTGCCCGCCTGCTCCGCCCTCGCTGAGACGTCATGCCTGCTTCACGGCCGGCGTGGCCACCCAGGCCCCGTCCACCCCAACCACCTCCTGCCGCGGGCACTCACGTTCCGGCCCCGAGGCCTCGGCGCCTCCCTCTGGCGGCCAGGCCTCGGCCGAGGCGTCGTCTGGCGGCGCGAGGGTCGCAGGAGGCCTGCGGGTTCGGCGAGGGCGCCGCCGCCGCCGAGCTGGCCCAGGCGCAGCCGCTCCCTGGGCGGTGGTGTGTCCCGGTGGCCAGGGCAGAGGCGCATCGCCGGCGGACAGGCCGTCCGGGGAGCCCTGGGTCCCCGGGGCCGCCTTCCCGTCAGGGCCTTCGGCGAGAGTCGCCGCTGAGGTGGGGCCGGCATCAGGCGGGCCTGGTGCTGCAGTGCAGAGAAGAGGAGGTCTCACCCGCGGGCCGACCTTGGCCGTGGCCCCGTCAACGCACGGCTCAGGCGGAGCCTCCCAGGCACTGGCCCTGCCGTCGGCCCCCCGGCGGCCCTCCCCGCAGCGGGCCCGACGGACTTCCACGTTGCAGGCCTGTCCCGGCCCCTGCCCGCCTGCTCCGCCCTCGCTGAGACGTCATGCCTGCTTCACGGCCGGCGCGGCCACCCAGGCCCCGTCCACCCCAACCACCTCCTGCCGCGGGCACTCACGTTCCGGCCCCGAGGCCTCGGCGCCTCCCTCTGGCGGCCAGGCCTCGGCCGAGGCGTCGTCTGGCGGCGCGAGGGTCGCAGGAGGCCTGCGGGTTCGGCGAGGGCGCCGCCGCCGCCGAGCTGGCCCAGGCGCAGCCGCTCCCTGGGCGGTGGTGTGTCCCGGTGGCCAGGCCAGAGGCGCATCGCCGGCGGACAGGCCGTCCGGGGAGCCCTGGGTCCCCGGGGCCGCCTTCCGGTCAGGGCCTTCGGCGAGAGTCGCCGCTGAGGTGGGGCCGGCATCAGGCGGGCCTGGTGCTGCAGTGCAGAGAAGAGGAGGTCTCACCCGCGGGCCGACTTTGGCTGTGGCCCCGTCGACGCACAGCTCAGGCGGAGCCTCCCAGGCACTGGCCCTTCGGTCGGCCCCCCGGCGGCCCTCCCCGCAGCGGGCCCGACGGACTTCCACGTTGCAGGCCTGTCCCGGCCCCTGCCCGCCTGCTCCGCCCTCGCTGAGACGTCATGCCTGCTTCACGGCCGGCGTGGCCACCCAGGCCCCGTCCACCCCAACCACCTCCTGCCGCGGGCACTCACGTTCGGGCCCCGAGGCCTCGTCGCCTCCCTCTGGCGGCCAGGCCTCGGCCGAGGCGTCGTCTGGCGGCGTGAGGGTCGCAGGAGGCCTCCGAGCTACTCCAGGGTCAGCTTTTCCATGGGAGGTGTTGTGCTCCGGTGTCTCGGCCAGCGGGACATTCCTTGCGGACATGCCCTCCGGGGAGACTTTGGTCACCGGGGTTTCCTTCTCATCAGGGTCTTCGGCTGGAGAGGCCGCTGATGTTGTGTCGGCATCTGGCGGGCCTGGTTCTGCAATGCAGAGACGAGGTTTTGTCACCTTCAGGCCGACCTTCGCTGTGGCCCCGGGAATGCTCGGCTCAGGCAGAGCCCCCAGGGATTCGTCCTAGGTCCGCCCCGAGCGGCCCTCCTCGCCGTGGGCCCACGGACTTCTACGTGTCAGTCCTGTCGTGTCCTCTGCCTGTCTGCTCCCCCGTCGCTGAGTCTTCACGCCCCTACTAACGGCCGGTGTGTCCGCCGAGGCCCTCTCCAACCCACCACCATATACCGCGGACACTCACGTTCTGGCTCCGAGGCCTGGGCTCCTCCCTCCTGTGGCCTGGCCTGGTCCACAGCGATGCCTGGCGGCTCCGAAGTCCCAGGATGTCTACGGGCTCGGCGTGGGGGCTTTGGCGGAGCCCTGCGCGGCGCGGGCTCTCCCTGTGCCCGCGATGGCCCAGGTTGCCCGGCTCGCTCGGCACTTCCTCCCTCAGTCTTCTCTGGGAAGGTTTGGGTCCCCACGGCCCCCTGTCTCTGTTGGCCTTGTTTGTCATAGGCCGTTGGGCCATCAGTCTTGGTTGGTAGGCCCGGGTCTGCAGTGGGGAGACAAGGGCATCTCACTCACCGGCCCACCATGGCAGCGGCCCCGCAAACGCTGAGCACAGGCCGGGCCGCCCAGGGGCTCCCGCCGCCGTTTGCCCTGGGCAGCCCTCCCGTCAGCAAGCTCAACGGATTTCGTGTCTCAGGCCAGTGTACGCCCCAGTCCTGATTTTTAGCCCTCCCTCCTGTTTTCTCCTAGTCTCATATCCAGAATGGCCACCATGCCCTCAGCCTTCTCAACGTGTCCTCCCGTGGGCACTTATCTTTTGTCCCAGAGCCCTGGGTCTCACCCTCCTCTGGCCTGACTATACCAGTGGTTTCTTCCCGTTGTTCCAATGCCTCGGGGGTCCTCTGTTTACGCCAAAACCTCCACCATTTTCTGGCTCGCCGATGTGTTTGCTCTGGCCGGTCATTAGTCCTATTCTGTGTATTGTACAATGGCAATGCTTACTATGAGTGGGGATTCCTTGGGCCCTACTTGTCACTAGTTGCTGCTGGTTCTGCCTATTGAACCTCCCATTCAGGATCAGGCCCAGGCCTGTGTTTGCACAGACCTGAGCCAGGAACATTAGATTCACCTCCAGGGCGCGGGTGAAAAGTATTCTGACGACCCCATCCATTCTCCCCATCCACCAGCCAGTCTTGAGCTGGAGTGTGAGCCCGATTGGCCCACGAGTGGTCTCATCAGCTCCTGCTTGGACCTGGCCTACCCCTGTGAGCGTCCTTTATCTCGCGCGCGTGCACTCACACACAAGTTGGCGATGTAGTGCTGCTCAGGTGTGATCTAAGTGGTGGCCTGGCCTGAAGAAAACCACCCCGGGCCTCCCTCTGTTACCTGAATGGTATTGTCGGATGAGGGACACAGGGCTCTCGGGCGAACCCTTTGCCAACAATGTCCCTTTGGTAAACTGTTTTCTGTTTCTTCTGAGAGGCCTTGGCCTTCGGACTTTGAACAGCAGCAGGAGAACATCTTCTCCGTCCAAAGTCCCATAACCAAGTGAGCAGGGCGGGGCAGCTGGTGTATGCGGCTGCCTAGTTACCAGGGTTCCATGTTCTGTTGGGCTCTGTTGTTCGGGAGTGAGGTCACTTCCTGGGTCCCTTAGCCTGAGCATCTCCTCAGACAAGAGTGATGACTTCACTTCCTGATGATCAGTTACCTTCCTACCCGGAGCCGTAACATTCTAAAACGGTCCCTGCCCAGCTCATTGGGCTGGAGACATTTGCACCAGCGGATGTCTTCTTGTTGCCTGCCCAACTCCCGAGGTCCTGGAGGTGCAGCAGCTGGTTGATGAAGACCCCGGCCCCGTCTCCACCAGTGAGGGGCAGGTGTGCCACACCAGCAAGGGCCAGGGTGGGCCAGGAGTGACTCTGGCCACCTGGGGGTCTGGGAAACCAGGGCCCGTGGGGAGCGGAGAAGGACTTCTTCTCCAAAGACCGCCAGGATCTCCAGGCAGCTCATGATTTCCCACTCCAACCTGGAGCACGCTGCCCGTGTTAAGTGAACTCAGCCAGGTGAGCTGGAGCTCAAGGAGGCAGAGCCCAAGGGCGAAAAGACAAGAAGGTAGGGGTGGGATATGGGGTGGAGGTGCCTGTGAGCTTATGGGGGTGGGCCGGAGCCAGACACACAGGGAGCACCCACAGAGGTTGACCAGAAGCCAAGCCTGGCCTCAGATCCCCCATCTGCTGAGCTGCTGTGGGGGAGGTCATCCCGGTTGGGTCCTGGGCTGCGGCTGCTCTGGAAGGCGCTGGCTGCATCGTGTCTGTGGGGGGCCCATGGAAATGCGGGCACGTGGGTGATCTTTTCCCCTCTCGCGACTCCAGCACGAGCCCAGGAGGCAGAGCCGGGTCCTGCTGTAACACCTGTCTCATAGGCCGAGGAGCCCGATGCAGGAGGACAGCAGGAGGCCGGCTCCCGGCACCTCCGGACCCGGAGGTTGTCCGCCTCCAGGGGTCATGCCTCCTCCAGCAGCTGCTCTAGCCATGGCTCCGGAGCCCGGGTGCGCCTGCGCAGCAGCTCCTGACCTGCCTGAGGCCTGGCCGCGCCTGCCCGAAGACCCCTCCCTCAGACCCGCTGTGGTTCCTGCCCCAGAGGAGGAGCTGCCTCTGGAAGATGCATCAGGGTCAGCTCTGGAGCGACGGGCGGATCCTGCTCCCTCGCTCCCATCAGAGGACTTAGTTTGACCTCCGTTCCTTACCTTCTAAGAAAAAACTTTTATTGTTACTTTTTTCCCCATCTTTGACATGATTAGATGTTTTATTTTAATTATTTGGTGGTTGGGGGGGGGTGTTCTCTTTCCTTTTTTCCTCTTTTTATCCTTCATGTTTCCATGGTGTGATCCATTTACAGTTATAAATAAACATTGGTGTTGATATTGGAATCTGTGCCTATCAGAGGACTTTGTTTTATCTCTATTCTTTAATATTTTTCTTTATTGCTGTTTTTTTTGCTGTATGGCATAATTTGGTTTTTTATTTCATTTTTATTAAATGGAGGTTTTGGGCGTACATCTGTTCTATTTTCTCTTTTCATCCTTCATTTTTTTTTTATGGTATGATTCATTTTAGGTTATAAATAAAAGTCTTTGTTTTCATTGTAAAGTGTGCCATTCCTGAGCATGGTGTTCATTCATGATGCTGTGCCAGTGTCAGTGCTGTCTAGCTGCAGGGTGTCCATCTCCCCACAAGGAGACCCTGCGTCTGAATTACCCACTGCCCAGTCCTCCTTCCGCTGGCAACCCCTGACCTGCTTCATGTCTCTGCTCCTTTCCCATTCTGGATGTTTTCGCTAAATGAAATCTTCCAGTAGGTGCCTTTTTGTGTCTGCTCACATATGTTTGTTTGTTTATATCTCAAACAACATTTTTGTTATTTGAAAAGGAAATTCCGGAGAGATTATAGATCAGATGTAGAAAAAGAAGCCCTTTTGGTGATTGTGTGCACAAAGTTGAAGTAGA